ACTGATGATGCGTTCGTGTTGGCCGTACTCTTTCAGAGTATGCAAAGAGGATTGTGTGATATGTGTGAAAATCTTCAGCTTAGGTGCGAAAATTCACAGTTAAAGTTAGATTTTCACAGTCAGGGAACTTTTCCTTCCTTTTATTGGTCATAATCCAGTCAGTAGAGAACAAATAGTATCAGTACAGATTTCATACACGTGGCTGTGCTGCACTGTGAGAAAAATGTCCTTATCTGCCGGCGATGAAAATACACTAAATTACTCAATTACTGGTAAAAATAGATGGAATACTTTGTCCAGAAGGGAAAATGCATAAAATTACACAAAATTAAGCTTTTAAACTTTAGAATGCCCTTGTTTCATGGCCATGGCTCATTTTTTTATCAGTGGATTATTATTTTTAACAGGGTTGAATCATTTTAACTGAGAGACTACAGAGAAACAAACATACCTTGTCCACGTGGTTTGCTATTTCAAGCACCCTGGCCTCTATTGTCCTCTTACTGCCAAACTTCTTATACTAAAAAGAAATGATTATACAAATTAGTAATACAATCAAAAGCATCTCAGATAAGGGAAAACTCATGGGAAGCCCATAATATCATTATCAGTAATAGGCAACATGTGCAACAACTCAGCCAGAGAAAGGAAAATAGGGAATCAAACCTCCGCTTGGTCGACCACCACAACCAGCTCCACTGTCCTGGGTTTCCCTGTGTGGCTTTTGGTCTGGGCTCTGCTTTTCTGCAATACACATAAGGTGGAAGTTAACAATACTAAAAGTGTGTTTTAGCCTATATGATAATAAACTTTATTTATATAGCTGCTTTCAAAACGATCTCACATAGCGGTTTACATAGGCAAAACAAACATTTAAACAAATCCACACCACCATTAAATATAATCCAGAAACTAAAAAGTACAGTAAAATAACATAGAATAAAACACCCGACATACAATACAATTTGGTGTAAGGATAATTTACAGTAATTGACATTGTTTTAATGTCAAGTTTTAGAGTTTCATATGGTCCAGTTTCAGATTTCACGACTTTATCTATTAAAATATGCAAAATGATGCACATTGAAGCTAACAGCCACGTCCACTAATCATTTCCAAATATATGAATTAATTATCTATTATGATTCTCTTCGTCCTTTTTGTGGTGTCTGTTTTTTTTTTTACCATGTTCTCCTTTTTACATTCCCTTTGTTTTATTGAATTGAATGCCAATGTAAAGTGCAAACAAAAACTTTTCAAAAGATTTTAACTAGATTTTTTTTAAGTATCACGGAGAAACAACTGTGAATGAACTGTGCATCGTGATACTTTGCAGAGCTATTAGTTAATCGTAGTATTTTACTGGCATCATATTTATGGTTTTTTTTGCATAAAATCGTCAAATGTAAGAATGCAGCACAAAATACTGGATATCAACCGTGGGCTTCAAACCCTGGTGTATATCTGTATGTGTCCACGCTGTGCATCTTTACCAGACTGCCGAGCTGGAACAGTCCAGACGGACGAGCTCCATGATCATAGAAAGTGGTCGTGTTTCCATGGGAACAGGAGCTCCTCTTCCTCCTCAGGTGTTTGTAGTTGTAAACAGCATGAAGACCCCCGTCACTGTGAGCTTCAGAGCTCTGTCTGTCATCCTGATGTACCGCCTCAGCGCCGGCCAGAGGTTCAATTAGGTAAATTTGGTCCTGGAGATGCAAAAACCCCCTGTTGTGCAAAAACAGGAACTTCAGAGTGGACAGAGGAAAACACATTTTCTTTTCTTCAGCTTATCTATTTCTCAAACAGATCTCATTTTAACTCATTCCAAGACATTGTTTGTTATGCTTTAGCGTTTTCACAGCTACTGACACTAACAGAAATGTCTTTTATAGCTGTAATCAGAAACGTTTGCATGGCCTTTGTTGATTGGGTTACAGGTTTTCAGACACACAGCTACACACAATCTTAATAGTCTTCGTGATGGAGGAAATGGATGCTGAGGGACTGATCCTCTCTTTGGATTGGACACACAGAGTCAAATCATCATGGGTTTAATTAAATTTGGCACGCTCCTTAGGAAAACAATAATCTTCTTGGAATTAGAAAATGTACATCCAGCACTACTCACTTTATTCCTGAGCACAGTCCCACGCTGACAGAGGAGTCCTCCACTCCCACAATGTGCCCATGGTAGTAGCAGTGAACCTGAACAGACATCCATTATTTGTTACAGAATCACAAGAAAGATATCAACTCACTTTTTTTTTTCTTCTGAAGCACAGTGGGATACTATTTTCTAATTTGAAGAAGATAAAATTGTACTGTATGCATTGTCTGTCATGGTCAGATGAATCTTAACCTTATATGTCAATTCCTATATATATATATATAGATACACACACAAGAATTACAGTGTGAGGTCACCTCTCATAATGAGGAACTTTGCAGTTGAGAAACTTTATGACATCTGATATTATGAAATAAGAAAAAAAAATACTGCTGTAACAGGACTTGATGTACTGGGATCTGTAAATGAATGGCAAAATATGAATTGTGTTGTACAGCCTTCAAAAAACTCGGTAAGAATATAATACTTGGTAAATACTGTAACTATAAATGCAGGTCAAACTTCTCAGCAGAAGATATACATTTTACAACCCCAGTTGTGTCTTATATTTAACAGTTCAGAGCTGTGACTTGGATTTTAAACGACAAAATAATCACACCAAAACTACTAAAACTGCGACAAAACCACTGAAACTGGGCGTGCAGGTGACACAGGATATCCTCCTTAAGCCTGTACAGTTCAGATACATTTTTGGTAGTAATAGACTGTTTCCAGACGACTGAATCGCCCACATCTCCGTTTAATACAGCAGTTAGTATAATGAATGAAGTGAAACAAAATGGCAATTCAGTCTGATCATACACTCACAGAAGAAAATCACAGATAAGTTTGGATCTTACAATTGAGCATCCATTCAAATGATTAAATGGATCAAATTTCTGATGGACTCAGCAAACTTAAAGATATATGACAGTACAAGATGATCGTGGATGCAGGGATAATGTAAAGTGTTGGTAAATAGTAGTGAAGGAATGCAAAGCTACATACCCTAAGATCAGGAGTAGTTGTGACCTGGGTGCCCTGATCAGAGTAGTGTGTCACAGAAAAGTTTTTCCCGACCAGATCTCTGAAAACAAGAGTTGTTTTTTTATGTCAATAATATTGACAGATCAAGAAACAAAGAACAGTGTGTGTAAAATATGGCATACACTAAAACACTGTTCAAAATCTACAAAGGACTTTTCAGGTTCTCTCACTTGTTCTTTTCCAGGTGCAGCGTGTAGTTTTGTCCTGCAATTGTCAAAGAGTACTTGACTATATCAGGGTATGTCTACACACACACACACACACACACACACACACACACACACACACACACACACACACACACACACACACACACACAGAAAGAGAGAAAGAGAGGAGACTTTAGCTCATTCTTCAAAAGGTTAAAAAGAAACTGATAAAATAGTAACTTAAGGTAGAGTGTGTGTTACCTGATGTGTACCAACATCATTAATGAGAGATGAATCCTTCAGCTTTTGAGGTATCACTGTTTGGTACTTCATCACATGAGGTAGAGTCCTCACACTGCCGGCGATTATTCCTGCAAGTATCAGTGATATCTTATGAGACAAAAAGAAAGAAGGAAAAAAGACAGACAGTCAGACAGACAGAAAAGTCGTACCCCACGAGGAGAAGAAAATCCATATAAAATATCCAGAATATGTCATGTTGCTCTACCGGACGGTCTCTGTCATTGTGTGCTTTGCAGTCTGAGTGAAATACCAAGGATCTCCAGCTCTCCGCCCCTCTCTGCTGTGTAATATCTTGAAAATTACCATTTGAGGGTGAGAAACCACGAGTCACACCCCGAGCCGGTAAAAAGTTAAACGTTGCTCTTCGCACAGTGGATGTGAATCTCGTGAGGTGCTGTGTCAGACACAATTAAGTTACAGGCGTGATTTTACGGAGATTAACGCTGTAATAAACCTCGCTTCGTTTAAATGTGTAAAAATAAATTTAGCAGTTAATTGAAATAAAAAAGTCGTCTCTGCCCTGAATTTCCTCCTTCCATTGTTAAAAAGTTATTATGAGGCTATAGGCCTATTTGAAACTTTTATTTTGTTTTCTTTTAGACATTGTTTTCCCTGATTAACAATGGGCTCTGGTCTAATATTTTTTTCCCATTTAGCCCACCGACGTTTCTTTAACAAATGTGAGCTAGCCAATAGCTATTAAGTACAGTTGCATGTAGAGATATTATACTCGGCAGATGAATTACAACATAGGCAGTTAAATTATGGGGAACTTATTAGACCATTAAAAATGTCCAGCACCCAACATCAAACATCCACTTTAGCTGACAGCAGACCAAGCAAAGCGCTTAAGTGGCCTTTGTCTCCATCTATTGGTAACATTTGTCAAAGACTGGTGTTTATATATATATATATATATATATATATATATATATATATATATATATATATATATATATATATATATATATATGGATATATTCATATTACATAGGACTTTTTGCCTTTTACTATTATGTAGCACCGTAAACAGGAAATGTAGGTTGAGTTGTTAATGTAGCGTCAATGTGTCGCTACCATGTGTTTGATGTAGCCTAGGCTACTCCTTGTGAGAGGAAAAATAACGTTAGACTAATATTAAAAACCCTTTAACCCTAGTAAACCCTTTTAAAGGTCAGGGGAACAGAAAAGTTTACATATTTTTTTTAACATTTTATGTTTACATTACACAAAAAATAAATGCACTAACGTGGGGCCCGGGGGGGGAAAAATGAGCTTTAGTGCACATTCACATTCCACAACTTTTTTAATGTTGAGTCTGGCCAGTTGGTGGCGCCAACGCACTATTTTGTTTTTCACAACCCGCAAAAATGACGTCGTCATTCCGCGACTGTGTATACCCAAAACAGAGGAGTCCTCTTGGAAGGTGGACCTCTCGACTTTGATAACGGTACAGTCATTGTGAAAACGTCTGGATGCCATGCTGCAGCCAGATTTGGTCCGACTCCTTACAGAGGGACAGGTGTTAGTAAAGAGCTGCGATGAAGACTGTGCGACGAGAAACACACAGGAGCTGAGGCAGGGTGAGGAGGAGGAGGGACACCCGTTCATCTTCACCCCGCAGCTAATCCACCTGCACAGGGACCACGAGCTGTTCGAGGTAATATAGCAACAACAAACGGAACCATTAACGTTACTCATGTTGCCGACGCACTTGGATAACGGCAGAGACGTTTTAACCCAGCCACGTTAACATACAACAACTGTTTACAGGATGGGGACATTCACAGACACATGTATCTACAAGACCTCTACATCTCAGAGGCCCACGACAAGCCAACAGCCAGGTATGAAAGCCAAGGTTTGTCCGTGCTTCATCGAAGTTTTAGCTGTTGCAGTGCCTTGTGTCTCTGTGGGCTGCATTCAAGCAACAAAGAAACCTTTATCTCTGTAAACAACTTATTCCAGGAGAATATATCATTCACAGAAAAGGAAATAACATTAGTTGAAAGAATATATACATATGCATACATGGTTTACTGACTAACAACCTAAAACACGAATACAACAAAACAACAGTTAAGTGAAATACATTTCTGAAGCATTTAAGATGCTTTAACGCTAACTTAACTAACAATTTCAGAAAAGAAATACCACCAGCGTTTAGTTAATTTGGATTATACGTTGAACTTACCCAAGTTACCATGTTGCTGTGGAGGTAGCGAGTTAACAAAATATTGTTGTATTTGACCAGTATATCACACCTGAAGCATTTAGGCTTTTCTAGAATTGAAAATATGAGAACCACACCCCTTAAAATACATTGCTTTTGGCTGAATTTATACTTAGGTTTACTGGGGCTAGTGTTTGTTGACATTGATATCTCTGTGTTTTTCTACTTTAAACTCTTCCATGAATATGATTTTGATAATCGTAACTTTCCTCCTACTCCTGTCTTTCTCAGTGTCTCAGAGTTTGCCTGTCACATTGCTGGCTGCAGGACAGTCTTCAGCACTTTGGAGGAGTATGAGCATCACTACAACTCCCTGCACAGACACGTGTGCTGCTCCTGCCGTCGCTCCCTGCCAAGTGCCCGGCTCCTAGACATTCACATTCAGGAGTGGCACGACTCTCTCTTTACTATTCTTGCCCAGAAGCAAGATATGGTAAGTCAAAGGAAAAAGGCTCTGTTCTTTCCCATGACCTCTTTATTGTTTGATACTCGCCCTAAGCTGTACCTAAGGTGAAATATTTTGAACACTCTTTGAGGATGAATGGCAAGGCTCTAAAGATAATTTTCCCATTTTTTAGTACCAGTGTTTGGTGGAGGGCTGTGGACAGAAGTTCAGGACTAGTAAACACAGAAAGGACCATCTAATACGAATTCACAAGTATCCTCCAGACTTCAGATTTGACAAACCCAAGAAGGACAAAGGGTAAGGCTGCACTTACTGCATATTTTCCACCAGATGGCAGCAAATATATATTTCTATATGCAGGTGTGCAGTCCAGTAGAGCTCATGATGGTTATATAAACAGAATTTTGACAAATTCTTTCAGCCATGAAGCAATCTTTCTATTCACACTCGAACTATTTCATATTTGTATGTTCACATAATTTGATAAGGCAACTTATAGAGTGAGAGACTCTGCTGCTTTATTGAAACTTGTGTTTTGGTGAACTTTCATATAAAAATTCAGCTACAGTTTAAATGCATATTTTTGTAATACATTTTTCAGACCCAAAAAACTGTAAAATTGCTTAAATCATTATATTAATATGTGTTTTTCTAATATCATATATTTTGTTATCAGAACTAGAGAGACAAAGAGACCGCAGCAGAAAGACACAGCCATGGAGGTAGTGGACGATGTGTGTGAGTCCGAGGGTGTGTGTGAGGTTATGTGTGATTTGCTCTCCGAGCAACCCGAGCACAGGGAATCCATGGAGACGCATGTGTTTGAGGAAGAAGCTACTCGCACGGCAGAGTCTACCTCTACTGAGGGGTACGCAGATCTTTCTGCTGCAGCTGGCACTGGAAATACAAGCACCGTGCAACTGCAACCACGATATTCCTACAGGTTAGTCTCTAAACTAGTCTGCAGGAAAGTACTGGATATTCTCAGGCTGTCTCAGAGAGACTAAGTGAGCCAATTTTATTTTGATGTTTTAAGGTTTTTGCTGGGAATTTATAGTTTGTAGCCATAAGATTCTTGTCTTCTTAAGGTAAAACTTGTTCAATTATGTCATTTAATCTAGTTTAAGCAAATTTCAGGAAGGATTCTTTCTATCATTTATGCACAATGTTATATAATTAATATGTTTATGGTTTGACATCTTCATAAAGTTTACTACAGTTTTTCTTATTTAAGCTATGAACAATCTGAGGTACAAAACAACAGCTGTGTTCTTGTCTCTCAGGGTCCCTGCAACTGTGTGCTTCGGTCACGGCTCCATCCGAGGCTTCAGAGGGCGGCGGGGAAGGAGGAAGTGAAACACCAGAATTTAGCCTCATGTCCTTTTAAGATGTATAACTGTATACCCTTGTCTTGTAACATAATATATTTACTGTCATGTGTCCTTAACTTGAAATAAAATGTTTTTATTGACATTCAGGACGGCAGTTGATGCATCAATGTTGTGTGTCTATCAGTCTCCAAAATACGCTGTGTGTAAACACTTGCATAAAACAAAATGCAAGTGTTTGTATTAAAATAATGATGCAGTGCAGCTGTTTAAATCACAATGGATGGGGATGTTTTTGGAGTCCACTGGTAGATTTTTGTGAAGAGAAAAACGAGAGGACTGTCAGAATTTCCATAATAGATTTTAATATTTGTACAAAACACCCTTTCACCCATCAGATATAAAATACACTGTACATTATTGACTGATGTCATCAGTCATGTTTAGCCTTTTGAGTGTTTTCAAAAAAATAGTTGACTTTTATTTACATTTAGGAATGAAACTGACTGGTCTTTTAAGAGCTCTTTGAACGTCTGTGCAAAAGAAATGTAGAAAGGTTTTGAGGTAATCTAAAAAGAAAAATGACATTTTAAATTACAATAGGAAAGCAGATTTTAAATCCATTTGTATTTTTGAAAAAGACAATTAAGAAGTTAGAAACAAAAAGTTGTGTGGATAAGATATTATTAATTATTAGTAATAGTAAATTCACCTTGAGAAGATCTCATGGTTAATAGTTAACCATGAGAAAAGTCTCTGAGCAGAATTTATTTTAAATGGCAAAAGTAAGAAAAAAGTTTGAAAATGAAACTTCTAAAACAAGTTTTAGGCACACTTGATTTCACTCCAACAGTATCTGAAAGGCACCTAGAAGCACTTCATAATCTCTTCCACATGGCTCTTGTTATTGATTATGAACTATTAAAGATGACCCACTTATTATGATTGTAAATATGGACAAACTTTTGCACTAATTGAAGTGTGTTTGTTGTTGTTGTTGTTGAGTGACATTGAAGCTTGATCTTGCCTCTCCTGATCAAAATTTTAGGTCTAATATCAGACTTTCCTTCTACCTTCAGCTTATAAAAAGACATGGGCAGACTGTGTTACTATAAAGTCTGAGTCTATGATTAGACATTTTATTTCCTCCAATAGCCTATTAAAAGTAGGGTTTATTTGATTAAATGTTGATGTTTTTTACTCCTCCGAAATTGGAAATGGTGTCCTTTTGAAAATGTCTTAGCCAGGCTAAGACATTTTCAAAAGCCTCTGAAGCAGAAATAAAAGATGCATGTGGACACTTTGTGACTCATCATGAGTTATTGCTTTAAACCCACAGTTATAGGCCTTTAAAAACCATGTCTCTTGGGAAATTAAAATTACGTTGACTAAAGTATTTCGGAATGCTGGCATAGAAAGTAGCTAGTAATTCCATGTGACATTTTAAAACATTTAATGCGAAATATTAGCTCTGTGAGAGTCCGTCATTTAAAAATAAAGTATTTTAATGAATACACTGCAAAAATGACAATGTTAACAAATAATTTCCCGTAAAGCAGACTAAATCTTAAATTATTATTATTTATAGAAAACGAATGAAAAATCATGAAAAAGGAGAAGCCAGTGAAAATATTTCTCTTGTTTCTGTTCCATGAGTTTCTTGAACGAACTGACTATGTAAAAAAAAAGATAATTCTTCTTACACCATTATTCCTATATATATATATATATATATATATATATATATATATATATATATTTACAATAGGCCTAACAGGAAAGATTTTACATTTGATGTAATAAAAGATTTCAGACTGACAGAGTTGGTTCTTTTCGTTATGAAGGCATTTTTATAAAGGCAGCCATCCCATCGGTGCAGTTCAAAGTTAGTAAGGGTTAGGACAAGTAGTACATCCCATATGGTCCACTGAATAGTCCTGGGACAGGTAAGGCAGGCCGCGGTCCGTTCAGGGCCCCGTAGAGGGACGGTGCGCCCATGGGTGCGCTCAGTGGGAAGGGAAAGGCGAAAGCCGGCAACAGCGGCTTCGCTGCCAGCTTGAACTTCTCCAGCTCGGCCTCCTGCAGTCTCTTGGCCTTGGCCCTGCGGTTTTGAAACCAGATCTTGACCTGTGTCTCTGTGAGGCTGAGGGAGTTGGAGAACTCCGCTCTCTCCGCGATGGAGAGGTACTGTTTCTGACGGAACTTTCTCTCCAGAGAAAGCAGCTGAGAAGTTGTAAAGGGTGTTCTGGGTTTCCTGTTGTTCTTGTGTTTCCGTAGATTGCACCCGGTCGGGCTGGGGAGTCCTGGAAGTACATTTAGAAAGTCAAATAATTGGAATAGAAAATATATGCTCTATATGATTTAACTATGTCTACTACTGACTTTGCCTGTTCTTACATCATGCAAAAGCCAAGCCAAATCAGGGAAATATCAACCACAGAATATTTTGGCTATATATGCAGTTATTTGCAGTCTCAGCGTTTTAAACCCCCTCTCCATCATCTCTAGATTTCTTAAGTAGGCTATTTAAAATAATTTCCTCATCTGTGCACTATTAATATTTGGTAAATTCACTAGACCAGTTCGTGGAAGGTTCTTTGGCGATTTCCAGAACAGTTTTAGACTGTTGGAAAATAGCTTATGATTCTCAGGATAAAGAAAGAAAGAGTACACCACACTCACTTGGAGGGGATGCGTTAGAAGCCTGACACCACGGGCTCGTTTCCTTGTCGCTGAGGTCCACCACCTCTTGCTTGGACCCATAGAGTCTCCTCGGTGACGCACACTCTGTCTCCTCTGACCGGATGCAGCCTGAACCAGGACCGGGGGAGTGGAGGCTTCTGTCCGGTGTCCTGCCTGATATGAGAGATTCCACACTGAAAGGCAGATCTAAACTTTTGGTTTTACATCTTCTGACAGATGACAGGTCCAGCTCGTCAGTTCCCATGCCACCAGCGGCTCGGTCCTCTGGTGAGGTCTCCCCCGGAGCAGCCGAGAGTGGTGATCCCTGCGCAGGATTCATTACGCACGACTGAGGTGCCATACAACCAGTTGTCCTGCCGCTTTCTCCGTTGCTGTTTTTGTTTCCGTGTTTTCAGTCGACGGAATCTATGTTCTTGGTCAGGTTCCTCAGATGTGCAGCGAAGTGGTAAACTTCTGTTTTTACGCACGGACTTTCCTCTCTTTTAGTAAAGTGCCATAAGTTCCTCTCTCATCTTACCGCCTGCCTATCAGCCTATCGATGTATCCACGTGACTCGGCTAAAACTGTTTCTGATAGGTCAGGCTTGTAATGACCGTGTTGTGGTCCATTTAATGCGCCTGTGGTGCCTTGACAGATGCAAACCTCTGTTTAGGGGCGGAGCTCGGAATTCTGAGTGCCCAAACTAAAATACCCCACATCATCCAAGGGTTGAATTTGCGCACACTTACACATCGCAAGACTCCATAAATATATTTAAATTTTTGTGCACAAACTTCTTTGTTAGATCTGAATATTGCCTGATATAATATGTTGTTTAATATTGATAATGTTAAAGCTGCTGTAGACAAAATATTTCAGAAGCATTTTTATTGTTATAATTTTTAATTCATCCCGACAGCAATCAATAAATCAAATGATCTGATACAAAAATGAAATCCAGTAGCTGCAGCTGTCAGAAGGCACGGCCATAGGCTTGCCTGAAGGGTACTTTCAAAATCTAGTCTCATGCTAGTTTTTTCAATGTTGCCTTCCCCCAGCTACTATATAGTACTATAGTAAAAGTTTATTTCTAAAACGGTAATATTCATTTCTTATTTTCTCTAATTTCAACGAATGAATGAAAATCTATGTGGGCATCTGTTATTTATGTTATGACATACCGTAAACTTCAATTAATGCCTATATTTGGGACAGGCATCTATATGAGACAGGCCTTTAATTCACAAATATCTTGCTCAGCAAAGATGGGAAATAGGCTACTGTCAAATTTATTTATACCCGTATGAATATTACTTTTCTACTACTTTTGGCTATTGGATAACATATCAGTTACAAGTCATTAATTTGATATTGGCCAACCCCATGCAGAGAGATAGACTATTGTAGAAAGGATGAAAGCCAAAGGTACCGTAGTTATTTCAACTTGGATTCATTTATGAAAAAACGTTTTGATTCTTTTGATTGGTGACCCCTACAGACTAACTGATGAACAATGGACACATATTCTGACTTAAGAAGACCGCTTGAGAGGTAGTGGATCACCACTTTTTTTTGTCTCTTGTCTACCACATCATGCCGGTAAATCTGAACGAATTATACTTTGGGGCTCATTGTTTCCGAAAATTAACTAAGCGATTGAATTGTGGACCAATCTGATGTGTTGCATGTCCGTATTGATTATGATTGATTTATATTTGTATGCACAATATAAGCAGTTTAGGACTAGCTCAAGCAGGTGACCCAGTGGGATTTAAGAGGTTTTATACATCCTGAGTACTTCTATAAAAACCAGACCAGGCGTCTAATTGAGACCTGTGTACGTAAACGTGTAGCCACACCAGGCCAGTAAAAGGGACAGTCTAATTGGGACTAAGCTTTTAAAGTTTTATGGGATACAAATCAAATGTGGACCATATCTTACAACAACCTCAAAACTCTTTTCTTAAACCTGCAGTGCAGAACTTTTGCGGAACTCTCCCTTCTGAAAATGAGAGTAGTTACACAACACTGTTGAGAAGTGCTTAGGACATATAGCTTCTGCCATACTGAGTTGCTGCAGTCTCTATGGTGGCTCCCCCTTCCGCTCCAGCAAACCAATCAATGCTGGTTGGCATAAAACACACCACTGCTAGTTCACCAACGCTGGAACGTCATCACAGACACTATATTTTAAAACTCTGATATACTGCGAAATACAGAGAGAACCCGTTTGGCAAGGGCTTAAATGTAAAAGATGTCGCTCACTCTAGCTTTTAAATACTTTACTCTAACTTTAAGCTGGACTAATCAATATGTTTATTTTAACAATGGATCAAATGACTAATTGTAATGTGAAAAGTGCTGCTTGTAGTGAAGAACTAATCATCACCTGACTCTGCCGTTCCCCTCAGTTCTACAAAGCATTTTAGCATCTTTCAGCTCATTGTTTTGGTTTTGTGACTCCAGTGTGTTACTGTTTTGTTTCAGTCTCACCGCTCTCATCAACCTTGCTTTCAGCAGCTGCTGTAAAGCTCTAAAAAACCACTGTATGTTATCTGCCCATCAGGTATGTAGCAGCTAAAGAGCCAAATATTTTCCTCAGACCAAAACAGATATAAAAGAAGAGTCAATATTGGATTTACATTCGGCCAGAAGCACCACTCCAAATGAATGATAATGTTGCTTTGTGTCTTCTGGGAATGTAAATAGGCAACTGCTTACTAACACTTTTCCCATATCAACTTTAAAAGGTGATTATATGTCAGTATTGTGTTTACAGTTTGTTCTGCTACACCCAAGTGGCCAAAAAAACAGCAAATGCAGGTTTAACAAATAACAGATCCTAAACTTCACCCTATAGGTGGCGCATGAAATTCAGTTTTAAAATGTTTACTAGGTTAACAATTTTTCGTTATGTTGCCAAAACTATAGTGCCTTGTTGTGGGACCTTGTCTGAAAACTTGTGCTTGAGAGCATGCTGACAGCAGTTTATCACAGTGTTTCATTAGAGCAGCAAGGCAATCCAGGCTGTGATTTACAGTACTTTATTTACTCTTAGGAGTTATTATCACTATAAATTTCTATCTTGTGTCCTGTAATCAAATTATCTATGGATGTGTATTGCCCATATTTCAACCTATTGTGTTCAATTTCTTTAATCCCTTTTAGAGACAGTAAAACCACAACTAATGCTCAGAGGCCCATTGAAGAGGCCCATCCAAAATTGGCCTTGTTTGGCAGCTCTTCAAATCAAGTCAAATCATTTTCAGCGAAACCAAATATGTGAGAGTTTTTCTCTCTTATGGAAACTGTTGTTGTGCCTGCAGCAGCCCACTGACTGACTGTGTGTCTGTAGGACAATTGGTTAAATGGAGTTAACTGTTTCTCTCCCCGAGGTACATTTCTGCTTTGATCCTGCTGTGCCTGGCGCCTGTCTGCTCTCTCTCCTCTTCTCCTTCTCTGTGTGACAGTGATAGATCGCTGGGTAACCATACAAGCTTTCAATGACTGTAATTTAGTGCCCAACAACATTACATTCTCCTCTACTTACAGGGAACATTATCACACTAACTCTCCTCCTGTTTGAAAAGGGATGTAGGGCTGTCTGTAATGTTTTGTTTCTCTTCCATTGTTTTATAATGAATAAGTAAATGATATTTCCTGTTTCTCTATGATTGGCACACACATGCCAGAAAAGTCAACAATGTGTATTTTGGTTTGAAAAGTGAAAATCTATCTATAGTGCAGTAGCTGCACTACAGCAACATTCATTTAATTCTGAAAGGTTTTTGGATGTGTTGAGCTATTTCCTCTTTCTTACAACTTAGTAGAAAAGCCGTGTGTAAAAATGTATCTAGATTTATCTTTCATCCATTTAATTTATTTATATATTATCTAAAATGGGATGACACAACCCTTACCTTAAATGTAATATTAATTTGTTAACATGCTAACATTTTAGTACAGCTGAGATTGATGGGAATGCCACTAGTTTTGCAGATATTTGGAGATAATCCAAAGTATTGGAAACATTAAAATTTTGACGTAATGATGGCAGACTATTAGTCAGGGAATCACCTCATCAAGTCATTTGGATTCATTGTCAAAACACATTTTTTTTATACCAATTCATCCTGCACATGTTTGACCTGTTGGTGGCGCTAGAGGAAAAGTCAACATAGTCATTAGGATTCAACAATGGACAATGTATAAAAAAGTGGACATAGCTACCATAACATCACCCACTGGTTTGTGGACCAATGTTTTGAAGCCTCAAGTTTGGCATTTCAGCCGTCACCATCTCGATTTCTTGGAGCCAGAAGTGACCATATTTGGATGAGAGGGTGGAGCTGGAGGGATGACTGCTATGGCTCTATCTTGATTGACAGAACTCTGTGGTAGCAACTTGTCAATCACAAGGTTGTCACTTAGCTTAATAATTTACAAAATGAACATTGTGCTGTATTGAAGGAGATTTGAAACTACCAATTGAGACTATCCTAACTCATTAGGAAAGTGTTTACTGAGGTAATAAATCAAGTGATCAGTCAAGTTTATTGGCTTCTCTTTTCGAACCCAGAGGTGGTGATGTCCACTTCCTTTATACAGTTTCAACAGGATTCAACATTTGAGCAAGGCAATCCATCCAACAGTGGAGGACACATTTCACTAACCTGCCAACCTGCTGGTGGCACTAGAGGAAATGTCAGTGAGTCATGTGAAAATATTACGGATTCTGGGGAAGTTTTTACACTGTATTTCCCTCATAACTTCAAAGGAGAAGCTTCAACCAGTCAACTACTGTCTCAGACACACACACACACACACACACACACACACACACACACACACACACACACACACACACACACATAGTTACATACACCTCTCCGAATCCTGCTGGCTTGCCAAAGTGGAGAATTATTTAAGAAGGTAATTGTGTTTTTTAAAATAGTTCTCATTTCAAACCAAACATGTTGAAGCAGGCTTTTATATTTTTAATTTTTAAATCTTTCGCTTTCATGAGAGTTGGCAGTTCTTACGGCTATCCTAAGCAACCTTGGGGGAAAAGGGGGGCCGGAGTCATGTGGGATAAACATTTATGAAACGCACAGCGGGGAACTTTGTGGTGAAAGTGTATCGTCTTTAAAAGAGAGGCCTGCCTGCTGAAGCATAACAGAACATTATCCTGTGTCTGAGTGGACCTGCCAACATTGGTATGTCAAAATGTCCATAGTTGTGAGATCACAAACTTTCCCTTCCATGCTGAAATTTAAATCGCACATTATGAATTGTCTTTCTCTCTATAGAGCGAGGTGTTGATTGCTACATGCACAAGTATCTTATGATTTGGTCTGTTTCATGCAAAGATGTGAAGTCAGCTTTGCTTGTGTCCTTAAATTGGTCTCTCCTCTTGAAACACAAGTAACAAGTCAAGTCTCATATCTATATCTATATATGTATATGGCAAATATAAATTACCGTCCAGTCAGAACTCAAGTCTTAATCATAAATA